ATGCCGCGGCGTGACCCTCTTCCGGGCCTCGGCCCGCCGGCGCTGCCTTCGTAGGTCCGGTCCGTCGCACCGACTCTGCGCATTCCGCTTCGCTCCGCCTCATTCCTGAGCTGGCTTACGCTCGAGGCTGGCATGTCTCCCCTTGAGACAAGGTGGCGACGACGACCGCGAGCCACCCCCCGAGGTGGCGCGCTGGCCGGGGTGCTCAAGGCCGGTGGGGCCGAAAGGGGTGATTCTCCCGGCTCCTGGTCGTCCTCATTTCCCCCATTCCCCAAACAGTGCTTGAACTTAGGGGTTTGTACGTGTGTTCTCTAAGGAACTCGGGGAGGTTGTCGGTCTGGCGGCTCCGTGCTCGCCGACGCCGCCCCGCCGCCGCCTCGTCGCCGCCCGTCGTCTGGGGGGGGTTGTCCGTCTGGCGGCTTTGTGCTCGCCGTCGCCGCCCCGTCGTCGCCGTCGCCGCCCCGTCGCCTCCTCGCATAGATTCTCCTTTCTACAAGAAGAATAGATTCTATCCCCCCCCCGGAGTCAACGGGTCACCTCTCCGTATTGCAATTTACATATGATTCTGCCCCATCGTCCATCCTACTTTTGAATTCGCATGATCCCAGCCAAACCGGTATCGCCCCCCCCGCCATCCTCTGCAACAAATGATATGCGCGCACTCTCGTTTATCAGAAATCAGAAGTTTTCAATAATCCCTTGCAAAAATGGGACGAAGTGCGCACGCGCGAGTCGTCGCGCGCGCACGCCGAAATCCTTCAAAAACTGTCGATTTCGGAAGGATTTCAAAATCGAGTTCCCAGAAAACATACAAAAACAGGGTTTCGCAACACTGGTTTGCTGACAAAAACACGCGCGCGCTCTTGCGACATGTAAAGGAAAACATATTTTTCTACTACCAACCTGACTTCGCGCGCGCGCATGTCGAAATCTTTCGAACGCCCTTGCGCGCGTGCCGGCGTTGACGACGGCCTAAGAGGCCCCCAAGACCGCCCCAAGACAACCCAAGGGGCTCCCAAGAGGCCCCAAAAACTGCCCAAGAGGGCCCCAAGACGGCCCCAGAGGCGCCTAAGACGGCCCAAGAGGGCCCCAAGACGGCCCCAAGAGGGGGACCACGAACCGACAAGTCTAGCCTTTCGCGCCAAGAAACCCCCAGGAGGCCCCAAGAGGCCCTGAAGAAGCCCCAAGAGGCCCCCAAGAGGCGTCCCAAGAGGCCACCAGGAGGTCTCTGGGCCTTCTTGGGAGTCCTATTGCGGCCCTTTTGGATCCCTTTAAGGGGCTCTTAGGGGCCTCTTGAGGGCCTCTTGGGGCTTCTTGGGGGGCTCTTGGGGCTTCCTGGGACGAAAGGCTAGACTTTTCAGTTCGTGGTTCCCCTCGTGGGGCCGTCTTGGGGCCCTCTTGGGCCGTCTTGGGCGCCTCTTGGGCCGTCTTGGGGCCCTCTTAGGCCGTTTTGGGGGCCTCTTGGGAGCCTCTCGGGCCTTCTTGGGGCGGTCTTGAGAGCCTCTCGGGCCGTCGTCAACGCCGTGAAAGCCGAAAAGCCGTGTATGGGAAAAATGCACGTTTCCCCAAGGAACATCAATGATTGTGGCCTCCTGGTGGCCTCTTGGGACGCCTCTTGGGGGCCTCTTGGGGCTTCTTAAGGGCCTCTTGGGGCCTCCTGGGGGCTTCTTGGGGCGATAGGCTAGACTTTTTGGTTCGTGGTTCCCCTCTTGGGGCCGTCTTGGGGCCCTCTTGGGCCGTCTTGGGCGCCTCTGGGGGCCTCTTGGGAGCCCCTTGGGCCGTCTTGGGGCGGTCTTGGAGGCTTATTGAGCCGTCGTCAACGCCGTGAAAGCCGAAAAGCCGTGTATGCTAAAAATGCACGTTCTCCTAAGGGAAATCGCTGATTTTGGCCTCTTGGGCCCTCTTGGGACGCCTCTTGGGCGCCTCTTGGGGCGTCTTGGAGGCCTCTTGGGACGTCTTGGGGCTGTCTTGGGCGGTCTTGGGCTCTTCTGGGACGGAACAGGGGAGAACCTGAAAAACATACAAAAACCCTACAGTCGGGTTCCAGTAGTAGGTCGGCCCTGCGAAATCAGGGTGCTCTTGTGTCCTGTGCATCGCGCGTCGTGTCCTCTGCGGCCGAAGGGCAGGGTACCCTTGCGTCCTGTGGTTTCCGCGGGTGTCGGTGGCTTGGCCCGCGGCGGTCTGAGCGCGTCGCGCCGGCGGGAGGTCGCGGCCCCTGTCTAGGGTACCCTGGCGTCCTCTCGGATTTGGGGGCTCACGTGGCTTCAAGATATGATTATGGTTTCAGCGCCGCGCCGCTGGCGCCGCGGCGAAGGGTCTATCTGCGATGTCCTCTGAGTTCGGGTGCGCCGCTTGTGAACCAACGACGCGTTGATTCGAGGTCGCCCCCTCGCAGCAGGGTACCCTTGTGTCCTGTACTTGCGCAACCCTGCAAGTTCATTCATCGTCGCATTCGGGGAGAGGTCGCGGGGCGCGCAGAGGGTACCCAGCCGTCCTGTACATTGGTTTCCTTGTTGCAGAGCCTCTGCCGAGCTGCAGAGCCTCGGAAGAGCCTCTGCGGAGCTGCAGAGCCTCTGAAGAGCCTCTGCAGAGCCTCCGAAGAGCCTCTGAAGATCCTCTGAAAAGCCTCTGAACAACCTCTGAAAAGCCTCCGCAGAGGCTCTTCCGAGGCTCTGCAGCTCGGCAGGGGCTCTGCAACAAGGAAACCAATTAGGACGGCTGGGTACCCTCTGCGCGCCCCGCGACCTCTCCCCGAATGCGACGATGAATGAACTTGCAGGGTTGCGCAAGTACAGGACACAAGGGTACCCTGCTGCGAGGGGGCGACCTCGAATCAACGCGTCGTTGGTTCACAAGCGGCGCACCCGAACTCAGAGGACATCGCAGATAGACCCTTCGCCGCGGCGCCAGCGGCGCGGCGCTGAAACCATAATCATATCTTGAAGCCACGTGAGCCCCCAAATCCGAGAGGACGCCAGGGTACCCTAGACAGGGGCCGCGACCTCCCGCCGGCGCGACGCGCTCAGACCGCCGCGGGCCAAGCCACCGACACCCGCGGAAACCACAGGACGCAAGGGTACCCTGCCCTTCGGCCGCAGAGGACACGACGCGCGATGCACAGGACACAAGAGCACCCTGATTTCGCAGGGCCGACCTACTACTGGAACCCGACTGTAACACTCATTCCTTCCCCCTACCCCCCTCTGCACTCCCCCTTAGGGGCTTCGCCCTACACCAGAACGTCATCATTCGTACCTCGCTCTTTCCGTTACCTGGCCCGGCACAGAAACGGAAAGAGCGCTTCAAGAACATGACCCGAAATCGTTCATGGCAGCGTTCGCTCTTGAAGCCTTGGTGTGAAGAACTGGTTACGATACCTCTTGCTCTTGGGAGCCGCGGTTTGGACAAATTTCAGGACGCCGTCCGATCTGTGTCAAGAACTTGTGGGCCGTTTGAGGGCCTGTTTTGGGGCTCTTGGAGGCCTCTTGGGATCTCCTGGGGGCCTCCTGGGGGCCTCTTGGGGGCCTCTTGGGGCTTCTTGGGGGGCTCCTGGGGCCTCCTGGGAGCTTCTTGGGGCGAAAGGCCAGAATTTTCGGTTCGTGGTCCCCCTCTTGCGGCCGTCTTGGGGCCCTCTTGTGCCGTCTTGGGCGCCTCTTGGGCCGTCTTGGGGCCCTCTTGGGCCGTTTTGGCGGCCTCTTGGGACCCTCTTGGGCCGTCTTGGGGCGAACTTGGGGGCCTCTCGGACCGTCTTCAACGCCAAATAAAGAGCGATCGGTAACGCGAAAAGCTCTTCACACCAAGGCTCCCAAGAGCGAACGGTGACGTAAACAAGCTGATAAGACCAAGGCTCCCAGCAGAGAGCGGTGACGTAACAAGTTCCTGACACCAAGGCCCAGTCAAGGCTCAGGAACGGGCGGCAACGCAACAATCTCTGAACACCAAGGCTCCCAAGAGCGCGGGGTGACGTAAACAAGCTGAGAAGACCAAGGCTCCCACCAGAGAGCGGTGACGTAACAAGTTCCTGACACCAAGGCCCAGCCAAGGCTCAGGAATGGGCGGCAACGCAACAATCTCTGAGCACCAAGGCTCCCAAGAGCGAGGGGTGACGTAACAAGCTCTCAACGCCAAGGCTCCCAGTACGAACGGTGGCGTGAGTAATTTCGGTCACGATTCTGAAGCGCTCTTTCCGTTTCTGTTTGGGGCCAGGTAATGGAACGAGCGAGGTGCGAGTGATGACGTTCTGGTGTGGGCGAAGCCCCTTAATTGGGGTTCCAGGGGGGTGCGTAGCGCGAACGTTTGGGCTCTAATGGCCGTTGTGGGGGTTTTCCTTTGGGTTTTGCATGTTTTTCGGATTTCACTTATTTTCCGTCCCAGAAAAGCCCAAGACTGCCCAAGACAGCCCCAAGACGTCCCAAGAGGCCCCCAAGAGGCGCCCAAGGGGCGTCCCAAGAGGGCCCCAAGAGGCCCAAATCATCGATTCTCCAGAGGAAAACGTGAGTTTTTAGCATATACACAGCGTTGACGACGGCCCAAGAGGCCCCCAAGACCGCCCCAAGACGGCCCAAGAGGCTCCCAAGAGGTCGCCAAAACGGCCCAAGAGGGCCTCCAGACGGCCCAAGACGGCCCAAGAGGCCCCCAAGACGGCCCCAAGAGGGGGACCACGAACCCGAAAGTCTAGCCTTTACAGACCCCCAAGAAGCCCCAAGAGGCCCCCAAGAGGCCCCCAGGAGGGCCCGAAAAGGGCCCCAATAGGACTCCCACGAAGGCCCAGAGACGCCAAGAGTGATCGGTAACGCAAAAAGCTCTTCACACCAAGGCTCCCAAGAGCGAACGGTGACGTACACAAGCTGATAAGACCAAGGCTCCCAGCAGAGAGCGGTGACGTAACAAGTTCCTGACACCAAGGCCCAGCCAAGGCTCAGGAACGGGCGGCAACGCAACAATCTCTGAACACCAAGGCTCCCAAGAGCGCGGGGTGACGTAACAAGCTCTCAACGCCAAGGCTCCCGGTACGAACGGTGGTGTGAGTAATTTCGGTATTTGGTGCTGCAGTGCTCTTTCCGTTTCTGTGCCGGGCCAGGTGACGGAAAGAGCGAGGTACGAGTGAGTTTCGTTGAGTTGGGGCGAAGCCCTTAAGAAGGGGTCCAGGGGGGGGGCGAGGGGCAGGGGCGGGGTCTAATGGTCTTCTTTTGGGGTTTTTCCTTAGGGTTTTTGTATGTTTTTCGAATTCTCCCTCCAGACGGCCGAAGAGCGCTCCAAGAGAACCCCAGACCGCCTAAGACGGCCCAAGAGGCCCCCAAGAGGTCCCCAAGAGGCGCCCAAGGGGCGTCCCAAGAGGGCTCCACGAGGCCAGAATCAGCGATTTTCCTGCGGCAAACGTAGATTTTTAGCATCTACTGCCTTTCGCCTTTCACGGCGTTGACGACGGCCCAAGAGGCCCCCAAGACCGCCCCAAAACGGCCCAAGAGGCTCCCAAGAGGCACCCATAACGGCCCAAGAGGGCCCCCAGACGGCCCAAGAGGCGCCCAAGACGGCCCAAGAGGGTCCCAAGACGGCCCCAAGAGGGGAACCACGAACCAAAAAGTCTAGCCTATCGCCCCAAGACGCTCCCGGGAGGCCCCCAGAGCCCCCAAAGAAGCCCCACGCAAGTCTAGCCTTTCGCCCCAAGACGCTCCCAGGAGGCCCGCACAGACCCCCAAGAAGCCCCAAGAGGCCCCCAAGAGGCTCCAAAAGGGGCTCAAAAAGGGCCGCAATAGGACTCCCAAGAAGGCTCAGAGAAGCCAAATAATGAGCGATCGGTAACGCAAAATGCTTTTCACACCAAAGCTCCCAAGAGCGAACGGTGACGTAAACAAGCTGATAAGACCAAGGCTCCCAGCAGAGAGCGGTGACGTAACAAGTTCCTGACACCAAGGCCCAGTCAAGGCTCAGGAACGGGCGGCAACGCAACAATCTCTGAACACCAAGGCTCCCAAGAGCGCGGGGTGACGTAACAAGCTCTCAACGCCAAGGCTCCCAGTAGGAACGGTGGTTTGAGTAATTTCGGTCAAGTTGTTGAAGCGCTCTTTCCGTTTCCGTGCCGGCCCAGGTAACGGATAGAGCGAGGTACGAGCGATGACGGTGTTGGGGCGAAGCCTTAGAGGGAGGGGTTCCAGGGGAGGGGCGAAGCGTGAGGAGATTGGCGTTAATGGCCGGCCCCCCCCCCAAGACGGTCCCAGAGACGCCCAAGCGTGCCCAAGAGGCGCCCAAGACGGCCCAAGAGGCGCCCAAGACTGCTCCAAGACGGCCCCAGAGGGCCCCAAGACGGCCCCAAGAGGGGGACCACGAACCGAAAAGTCTAGCCTTTCGCCCGAAGACGCTCTCAGGAGGCCCCAAGGGCCCCCCCAAGAAGCCCCAAGAGGCCCCCAAGGAGGTGGCCCCCAGGAGGCCAAAATTATTGAATTCCTATGGGGAAATGTACATTTTTACCGTGCGCGGCTTTCGGCGTTCACGGCGTTGAAGACGGTCCACGAGGCACCCAAGACCGCCCCAAGACGGCCCAAGAGGCTCTCAAGAGGCCCCCAAAACGGGCCAGGAGGGCCCCAAGACGGCCCAAGAGGCGCCGAAGACGGCCCAAGAGGGCCCCAAAACGGCCCCAAGAGGGGGACCACGAACCGAAAAGTCTAGCCTTTCGCCCCAAAACGCTCCCAGGAGGCCTCCCGAGCCCCCCAAGAAGCCCCAAGACGCCCCCAAGAGGCCCCCAAAAGGCACCCGAAAGGGCTCCGAAAGGGCCCCAGTAGGACTCCCAAGAAGGCCAATAGACGCCAAATAGAGAGCGATCGGTAACGCAGAAAGCTCTTCACACCAAGGCTTCCAAGAGCGAACGGTGACGTTAACAAACTGATAAGACCAAGGCTCCCAGCAGAGAGCGGTGACGTAACAAGTTCCTGACACCAAGGCCCAGTCAAGGCTCAGGAACGGGCGGCAACGCAACACTCTCTGAACACCAAGGCTTCCACGAGCGAGGGGTGACGTAACAAGCTCTCAACGCCAAGGCTCCCGGTACGAACGGTGGTGTGAGTAATTTCGGTATTTGTTGCCGAAGCGCTCTTTCCGTTTCTGTGCCGGGCCAGGTCGAATGGCCTTCGGCCCATGAAGCCTAATTCATTGAATGTTTATGAAGCCTGTTGGATGTTCGCTAGGATCTCGTGGGAGGCCCGTCGAAGGCCTCTTAGAGACCGTTCGGACGCCTCTTAGGGGCTTTTGGGTGGCCTCTTCGGGCCTGTTTTGAGCCTCTTGGGGGCCTCTTGGGGCCTCGTGGGGGCCTCGTGGGGCCTCGTGGGGGCCTCGTGGAGCTTACTGGGGGCCTCGTAGGGCGGACGCCTCGGATTGTCGGTTCGTGTTCCCTCTTTCGGGCCCCTCTTGGGCCTGGGCCCTCTTGGGCCCTCATGGTCAGTCTTGGGGTCCTCTTGGGCCGTCTTGGGGCGGTCTTGGGGGCCTCTTGGGCCGTCTGGGAGCGTTGGGAAGCCGAAAAGGCGAGGCTCAATTCTGTCAAAAACCATCGGGAATTATGCACGACTTTTGCCTCTGGGAGCTCTCTTGGGAGGCCTCTTGGAGGCCTGAGGCCATCTTGGGCGTCTTGGGCCGATCCTTCGGCGACTCGGAGCTCTCTTGGCCCGTCTTGGGGCTCGCCTTGGGCCCGAAACGTGCACGCGCCACCGCTTCCCCGAGTCCAGGGGGCACGCTGGAAGCCCCTTGGGGCACGCGCCGAGCCCCGCCAATTTTTGGAACTTTGGGTCCGGGCCCCTTGAAGTCTGCTCAGGGGTGAGGATTGCAGCTTGGAGGACTGGGCAATGGACCCGAGGACACGTCCACTCCGTGCCCAGAGGCACGGTGGCGGATCTCACACATATCCGCGAGCAAGCTCACGCTGGCAGCCGCCAGGGTCATCGAGCCAGCAATGCAGCGTATATACATCTTGCGCGGAGGCGTGCTACGTAAATGACGAATGTCGCGGCGATGGCGACATGATTCTGACTGCAGCAAGTGGCAGTTAGGCAAGCAGCGAGCTACATACTTCAGCTGAAGGGATGCACCGATAACCCAATGGGAACCGCGTGGAAGGACCCAAGGGTCAGTTCACCTTCAGCATGCCGTGCACCACTATGCAAGGAGAAGAGGGTGGCGGATCTAGTGACCTTCGGCTAGTCCCGCCACCGCGTCTGGTTCTTTTTGATGCCTGTTGGGATCTCTCTATGTGGGCCTTCAAGCCTCTTGGAGGCAGTTTGGGGGTTTCTTGGGTCCTCTTGGGCCCCTCTTGGGGTCTTCTTGGGTCCTCTTGGACCGCCTTGGCAGCCTCTTGGGCAGTCTCGGGGTCCTCTTGGGCCGTCTTGGGGCCGTCTTGGGAGCCTCTCGTGCCGTCTTCGGGCAATATTGGTGTCCTCTTGGGCCGCCTTGGAGCGCTGGAAGCCCGAAAAGCCGGGAACACGTCATTATTCAAAAAAACTACCGACAATCAATGATTTGTGCCTCTTGGGACTTTGTCGGAGTTTTCTCGGGGCCCTCTTGAAGTGGCTTGGGGGCCTCTTTGGGCGTCTTGGCGGCTATCTTGGGTCGCACTGGAGCGTTTTTGGGCCATTCTTGGACCACCCTCGGTTTTTTTTGGGGGCCTTCTTCGCCAGTCCTGGGACCCCCAGGCATCGGAACAAGTTTAGCAGAAGCTTCAAAAGGCTTGAGGGAAGCCCTGAGAGGCACGCCGACCAGTGAGATCCAGCAATTCAGGGCTCGGTCATTCAGGACAGGGCTCGTTAGCACTCTCAGGACCTAAGGACACTCCAACTCGTGCCTCGAGGCACGATGGCGGATAAGGACAAGGGATGGAGGAGAAGGATGAGGAACCCCCCTCGTGTGCCACCTGTGAGGGCGGGGGCGGCCGGCGGAACGGCCCCCTCGGCGCTGTGCTGGGGCACATGGCGTGCGCGGTCTTCGGCTGCACCTGCGAGCGCTGAGTGAGGCCCCCCCGCGCCCGCAGCGGCGTCGCGAGAGGGGAAAGATATCCCGACCTTCAGAGACCCCATCGCGCCAGAATTTGTTTCCCAATCATTGCTTGCACTCAGGGATTCTTTCTTGTCCTCAGAGGAACTGGGCCTGGCTGGCGGTTCGGCCAGCTTGTCGCCGCCTCGCCGCGTCCCGTCTGGGCCTGGGTGGCGGTCCGACCAGCTTATCGCCGCTCGTCGCCGCCGCCTGTCGCCGCCGCCCGTCGCCGCCGCATTTTGGTTTCTATTTTGATTGGGCGAGCTCTATTGCGAAGGCCTTACGGCCGGTGCCGCCGACCCTGGAGGGCGACCCATGCGTTCTCTAATGTGGCGGGGGGGGCCTCTTGGGGGTATCTTTGGGTCTCGTGTGTGTGTGGGGGTCGTGTTGGGGCCGTTGTTGGCAATCGTGAGGCTTTCTCGGGAGCGTCTTTGGCCGACGACGGCGACGTTGACGGCGGTGGCGATCTGGAGCTATTCTCAAGGGTCTCTCGGGGACTTTCTGGGGCTCTCTCGGGGACTCTCTCGGGGCCTTCTTGGGCCAGTTTGGGGCTTTCTCGTGGGTCTTTTCGATTGTATTGGGGGGGGGGTCTTGGGAGCCTTTGGGGTTGCTTTGGAGTGTTCTTGGGCTCGGCACTCCGGGGGCAGCTACCTTGCCCCGCGCTTTTCAGTAGCTACGTTGCGGTTAAAGGGTGAGCCAACCGAGCCTCAGCTCATGCCGGATGAGCACGCGAAGCTCCTGTGGGCCTCTTGGGGCTTCCTGGGGGCCTCTTGGGGGTCTCGTGGTGGCCTCTTGGGGGCATCTTGGGGCTTCCTGGGAGCCTCTGTCGCCGAGGGCTCGTCTGGGGCCGTCCCCGTCTGGGCACCCTGTTGGAGCCGTTTGGGGAGCCTCTGGGGCCATCTTGGAGGCATCTTGGGCGGTCTTGAGGCTCTCTTGGGTCATTTTGGGGCTCTCTTGAGGCCTCTTGGGCTATCTTGGGGCAATCTTGGGGGCATCTGGGGCCGTCTTGGAGCGTCGGCAAGTTGAAACGGCGAGAACGCCAAAATCTGTCAAAAACTTTAAGGAAATCATTGATTTTTCCCTCTTCGTGCCCTCTTGGGAGTGCTCTTGGAGACTTCTTGGAGCGTCTTGGCAATCTCTTGGGCCGTCTGGAGGCTACTTTGGCGTCTTCGACCGATGGTTCGGCGATTCGGGGCCCTCTGGAGCCGTCTTGGAAGCCTCTTGGGGCACTCTTGGCCAGTCTGGGGGCTTTTCTAGGTCCCGGGACATCCCGGGGGGGATGCGTATCTGCCCCCCCCCACCCCCCGGGACCCCCCCCGGGACCCCCCCCCCCCCCGGCGGGGAAGGGATCAAAGGGAAGGGGCTTCCCTTCGACTCAGCTACGACGTTGCTCAATTTCGCTTTGCCTTCGACTCAGCTACGACGTTGCTCGATTTCGCTTTGGTTTCGCTTTGGCTGGCGCGCCTGAGGGGAGGGCGACGACGACGACGACGACGACGACGACGACGACGACGACGAACGGAAGAGCATCGACGACGACGACGACGACGGCGACGACGACGACGACGGCGGCGGCGACGACGACGACGACGACGACGTTCACGACGAACGGAAAAGCATCTTCCACACGCCGACAGGGTCGGCGGATTTTGATCGTGCGAGCGTCGTAGATACCACGTCAATTGCACCACATAGATTGGTCGGCGATGGGTGAAAAACAAAGGAGGCTGTCAACTGGCGGCGTGGGGTGATGCCAGATCATGCGGGCGTGCAGACAGGGCGGACAAGTCCTGCCTCTTCTTTCCCCTCGTCGTCCCCCCAACGCCTCCTCGCTCATGTTCCCGTCTCTCCTTCTTCCCGTTTCTTCTTTCCGATTTCTGCCCGTCCTCTTGAATCCTCCTGCGCTCTCCCCTCCTTCCCTCCTCTCGTCGCCCCCTCCCTCCTTCCCTCCGTGCCTCTCTCCTTCCCCCCTCTGTCGTTCTTCAGTGGCCCCAGCCCTCGCTCCCCCGCGCCCAGTGGATCCTGCTCCCTGCCCCCCACGCCTGCCTCCAGCCTTTCCTCGCCCCCCCTCCGCCACCCCCCGCTCTGCCATCCCGCCCTTGGATCTCGAGCTCCGTGTTCAGCGTTCCAGGCAGCCGGGCGCGATGGCGGATGGGGAACCTTGCGAGAGGTTGCCGGCGCAGGCCAGAAAGGGGAGGAAGAAAGTAGGAGGAGGAGGAGGAGGAGGAGGAGGAGGAGGAGGAGGAGGAGGAGGAGGAGGAGGAGGAGGAGGAGGAGGGGGAGGAGGAGGAGGAGGAGGAGGAGGAGGAGGAGGAGGAGGAGGAGGAGGGGGAGGACGACGGCGAATGGAAAGCTCCACACTATTGTTCCGTGCGTGCATGTCAGGTTGACAGAGACTCGGCAAGGCGAGACCACGAAGAGCATTCAAAAACCCAATGGGGATCAGTGACCTCTTCGGGCCCTCCTGGAACTCTCCTTGGAGCCCTCTTGACGTGATGGGGACATCTTGGGCCATTTTGTTTGCTTTGGTGGCTTGTGTGGGCCGTCTTGAGAGCCATCTTCCGTATCTTCGACGCAGTGGAGAGCGCCGGGCAGCGTCGGCGCGCTTGGGAGAGTCACGGCAAGCGAGGAGGGGGGCGCTTATAATGCGAGCGAAACCTTGCCAGGCACCGCCGATTTCCCGCCACCACTCAATGTGCCATGGCCCAGGGGGGCACGACCGCGGATGCACCTGACGTGACGAGGGGGAGCGATGCTCGCCCACCCGCTCGCAGGCTGCCGCTGCGCCAGACGTGCCCGCGCGCCGCCTGCGAGCGGAGGTCCAGGAACTGCGGGAGGAGCTCGCCGCACTGGTCTGCTGCCTCGCGGCCTCTGGTCACCTCAGCCCGGAGGGGCACTCGGCGGAGGTCCACCGCCGCCGGTTCGACGCGGCCCGGCGCGCATTCCCATCAGGCGTCGCGGAGAAGGCGACGCTCTGGGCGTCTTTGCCCCTTCTTGGCCTCCTTGTGGTCCCTCGTTGCCGCGTTTGGACGCGGCTCGGAAAAGTTGTCAGGAAGGGACCCGGACCCTCTAGTTGGTTTTGAACAGGTTTGGGTCGGGATCGGGGCGAGGGGGGCAGCCTTCAAAGAGGATTATGTTTGCAGAAGGCGTCTTACCGCGCAGGATGGCCCCTGAGAGTCGGGGTGCGAGGAAGAGGAGTGAGAGGGGAGGGAAGGGCGGCGGAGACGAGGGGAAAGGGTAGCTTCCCTCCGTAAGCGAGCACCGTTACCAGGTCCCGTCTACAGCGTATAGATATACACATCTATGTATCTATGTATCCTGTATCATATCACATATTTATATATAGATATTCATATTTCAGTACACATGTGTTTACACATATATAGATATAACTTCACACATATATATGCACACATATGCATCTATAGACATACAAATACAAACATATAGATACAGCTATATATATGTATAGCTATGTATCCATATAT